CCCCAAAACCCCAAAACCCCATCATTACAAATTTTAGAACCAAATGACATTTATTGAAAATAATTGATTTTTGTAAGATATTGAGAACTGTTTTTGGAACTCATTCAGAAGTAATTTCATTTACCGCATTTTTAGCCTTAAAAGATGCAGCAGTATTGAGAGTCTACAATTCAAATTGCTGAAATTTTTCATCGAAATCTCTTAGTCTCTGCTTTAATTCTAGAATTGTTTCAAAAGCATAAATGTCTTAAATATCGCCAATATTCCCACTACTTCCATATTTATTTTTTAATCTTTAGGAGAGTCTGCGGTTAAATAGTTTTCTATTAATCAAAAATATTAAAGAGGATACAAGGGCCACCCAACCAAAAAAGGATCCTATTTAAGAAATTCCATCCCATAAGCTTTTTGGTATGATTGTATAAATTTCGACATCATTTTACTAAGGATTCATTTAAAATACAGTTATAAAAGTTGGTATATTTAATGTGCTCTGGTCAATCACTTATATAAAGTTATACTCTTGAATGTATGTGTAGTTTTCCAATTGGAATTTTCTTTTTAACGAGAAGGTATCATCTGTATAGTTATAGGAATATGGTTGAATTCCCAATTTTAGTTTTCTTTCCTTAGAATCTGGGCTAAAGTTTAAATTAATAAATCTCAGCGCCACGGCCTAGTCTGGATAATCAAATCTATTTTCAATGATTGAGTACTACCAGCTACCACTATTTAATTTTATAAATGATGAATTCAATGCACAATATTTTTACTCTGAACAATTGCATTATATGCTTATCGGAGATTCGAATTAATTTTGGGACATTCTATACGAAACTGATTATTAGAAAAACTTATCGTCAAAACTAAACCCAAATGTAATATATCTTAGAACATCACTCTAAATGTTTTAGATAGGTTCACACGAAAAATTTCCATTGTCAAATTTAAGGAGACCAGTCGATTCCTCTCCAGTAATAAAGCATTGGTATCCGCCGCAACTTTTTATAAAATCATCAAAGTAATCACTAATCACTTCTTTATACTAAGTTTAATAAAGTTGGGAATCATTTAGAAATGTAGTTTCTTTGTCATCTGTATAATTTAAAAGCAATTCAAGCGCAAATAATCTATTATTTTGCTTTGATGTGATTTTTCTAAAATAGTCAATGGGATCTTGTACAAGAAAGCTTGGTGGTTTCTTAAAATAAGTCATTGTATATGTTTCTTGATTATATACTTCTAACAAAACTTAGATCGATAGATACAACAGAAGTCCAATCATAGCCAGACTGAGAATCAATCCAGGTATAGAGTAGTGATCCTACTCTCTTTAACTATGTAGAGTTGTTCTATACTTTCCAATATTAATAAAAGCCAAGGATCTTCTCAAAATTTTCATTCGCTTCTTTCTGATTGTATATTATTATTATTATAATTATTAACATTCTATTTTTCCTAAAGATAATAATTAGAGTTCATTTTAGCTGTCATTGAATCCTTCAATTTTACTTCCCATGGGGTTTTGGGGTTTTGGGGTTTTGGGGTTTTGGGG